CAATATACGTGCTCCTCTGCTCCCGGAGGTTCAACTGCACCTGCGCCCCTTCTCCTTCACGGGACGGAGGGCCCCCGTCAGCCAATCCCTGGGAGTGGGGAGGGGCGCTGCCCCGGGGGAAGAACTAGGAATTCACAACACGGACGGAGGGCCCCCGTCAGCCAATCCCTGGGAGTGGGGAGGGGCGCTGCCCCGGGGGAAGAACTAGGAATTCACAACACCTGGAGGCAGAGCCAACCTTGCAGGTATCCGGTCCAGATTCTCCACCAGCCCCAGTGCACTCTGGGACAGGACAGGAGAGCTGGAGGCTCCAGGGATGGGCATGGTTAAAACAAACCAAAGGAAGTTTGTCTTCACGCAGCGCACAGCCAACCTGTGGAACTCCTTGCCCTAGGAGGCTGTGAAGACCAGGACTTAAACAGGATTCAAGATAGAACTAAATACATTCCTGGAGGGTAGGTCCATCAATATGGATAGCCAGGACGGGTAGGGATGGTGTCCCAGGCCTCTGTTTGTCAGAGGCTGGGAATGGGGGGGACTCCCTCTGGGGCACCTGGCGCTGGCCACTGTGGGCAGACAGGACACTGGGCTGTATGGACCTTTGGTCTGACCCCGTGTGGCCGTTCTTACGTTAACCAGCAAGCGTCACCCTTACCGGTTACGGTTAAGGCACCCCCGTTGAAGTGGTTACCCTATTAAACGTAACGTTTAACCATTTAACGGGACTTTAGAGCGGCCACGCTCACTAAACCCAGCGCTGCCTTCCAGCACGAGGGGCCTTCGCGCCAGCGCTGGGACGGACCAACCAGCACGACGCCGTCCGCAGCCGAGAGGCAGCGTCAAGGCGTGGCCCTTGGAGGGGACGTGATAGCAACCTCTGGGAAGCTGCCCTGCGGGGTGCGGGTCCACCCTGCTCGAATGTCCGTCCCCCGCCCTCCTCCCGTCCCACGTTGTCCCGGAGAAGGCGGGAGCCAAAAGGGAAGCGCTGTTCAAATCGGCGTTGGACGTGAAAAGCTAATCAGTGCTGGGGGAAGAGGCCGGGGGCGGGGGGACAAAAGAGCCATGAGAGGGTGGTGAAAGCTCTTGTCTTTATTGCTGAGACCATCCCGTGTTCTCTCTAGGCCACGAGTGGCTGGGGGGGCCGCAGCAGCCCCGGTACAGCCTCGTGGCCTAATTCAGGCCTCTGACGTGGCTTTCTGTCCAAGCGCTGCTCTAGAACGTCAGAGCGGCCAGACCAAAGGTCCATCTAGCCCAGTGTCCTGTCTGCCCACAGTGGCCAGCACCAGGTGCCCCAGAGGGAGTGAACAAAACAGGGGATCATCAAGCGACCCATTCCCAGCCTCTGACAAACAGGGACACCCTCCTTGCCCATCCTGGCTATATAGACGGTCCTTGCTCTCCTGCCTTGGCAATAAATAGTGATGTTTGCCTAAAAGCAAACCCAGGCCTGACTCAAGTCTGGTGCAAATAAGGCTGCCGGCAGGGCCCGAGAGGAAGGAATGTTTTGCATAACAATGCAGATTATGCAAAGACCACGTCAAAAACACACAGGACAAGCGGCCTTGTACTGGCCCTTCTGTTTCTGATAAGCAAAATTTACAGATGCAGCCACGAAACTGTCAATGACGCACATCGCAGCAACATCCGGAGCAGCATGTACCACAATAGGGGCATTGGACGTACCCTATGCACTACGTCATTAATTGGTAAATAGCATTCCAACGACCAAGTCTCGTTTTACTATAAATTGGGCTTAGTAAGGACAATCAATGGGAGATTTAAGGCAGATTCTAGCAAATTTTGCTGGAGAAAGAAAATCAACCGCCCAGAGGATGGCGTTCCATTGCGTGGGAACCAACAGAACCACGACCTCCTGCCTTGCACTGTAGGTAGCATACAGGTGAAGTGTAAGTTAATTAAGCTTTATTATTGTTTTATAGTAGATCTTCTATTAATTGCTTTTGCATTGCTTTGCCCTGTATTATTTGCTTTAGATAGTACCGTATTTAAGGTTTAAATTGTATAGTAATTGTTAAGGCTTGTAAAATTGAAACAACCGCATTAATTGCTTAAAGCTTGCAATAAATAAGAAAGTGGTTAAGTATCCCTGGAGCATCCTGGTTTCCCTTGGATCTAAAATAAATCGAACCACATGACAGTCCTATCCTCCATGAATTTATCTCGCTCTTTTTTGAACCCTGTGAAAATCCTGGTCTTCACAACCTCCTCTGGCAAGGAGTTCCACAGGTTAACTGTGCGCTGCATGAAGAAAAACTTCCTTTTCATAGAATCATAGAATAATAGGACTGGAAGGGACCTCGAGAGGTCATCGAGTCCAGCCCCCCGCCCTCAAGGCAGGACCAAGCTCCATCTACACCATCCCTGACAGATTTGTGCTTCCCCTTTTGTTTGTGGGGAAGCTTTCCAGCCTGGTTAGATGATCACCCTGCTGGCCTGAAAGGTGTGGTGCAAATCTTGGCCTCGCAGGAGTTATTCTGCACTTAGCACAGTGAAATGCAGAGCAGAATCGGGCCCTTTGGCCATGATACTAATTAAATAAGCCCTGGCTACATGCACCCAGCCACCAGTCGTCCCTGTAAGCTGTGCGCTTGGGCAGCCACCCAGGAGAGATTCAAATGCTGCCCAGCTGATTAGCAGAGCACCCAGTCACCCATAGCCAGCAACATGTGTTTCTATGGGTGGTGCACATCTGCACATTCCTTGGTGCACCAAACAAAATTTATTCCGTTCATGGGTGGAAAAGGTTAGCGGGAACCCTGCCAACCACCAGGCTATTTGCAGGCGCAGAACCCAGAGCCTCCAGCGCCAATAAAACAACACTCCCTGCCTACTTGAGCTCCACGGATCACACTGCTAACTTCCACGGGGGAGCAGATTTGGAGGAGTCAGAGCCAGCTGCTAGAGAGAGTCCTGAGCCCACACACACGAGGCAGAGGGGAGCTGACCTTGGCGTAATCAGTCGCATCCCGAGCGGAGGCCCCCTGCTTACCTTGGGGGTGCTTTGGGCAACTTTGCTGGAGGAGGAGACGTCGTGCAAGGAGAAAGCCGCGTTGGAATGACCCCCCTGCCCCTTCTGACCCACGGCTCCGTTCCTGCCGCCGAGCACACAGGGAAAACAGCAGAAAGACAGTCAAATGCTTTGGAAGTGCTGCCCGCACTGGGGTCGGCTGTCAGACCCCGGGGCGGGCCCGGGCCCCCGAAGGGGAAGAGAGGTTTCATACCCGAGGGCAGGCAGCGTTTTCACGGGGGCGGCTGACCGTTGTCCCCCGTGTTTTTAAACGTTTGGGTGGGGCTCCGGGAGTAGGACGAAGGGGACCGGACAGAACATATTGACACGCTGAACTGGTCTAGTTCTGGTCCAGCACAGAAAACTCCTGCCGCCCTCCGGCGCAAAAGAGCCCCTGGCTGGAGGCCGGCCGTATTCCGGGAGGATGCAGCCAGAGACGCATCGTCCCTGCTCAGTGCCTCGGAGGGAGATGAAAACGCCAATTCAGCCAAGGGAAAATCCCTTCTCCACCTCCCATCGGGCTAGCAGTGTAACCCAGGCACCGAGTCAGATGCCGATTTCACAGGGGCCTACATTGTGAGGAACCCCCAACGCCACACCATGGGGAGCCGGCCTCAGGCCAGAGGCAGCCCCAGATTGGTCAAGGTGTTTGGGCATCGCAGGATGGCCCCGAAGTGCCTAAATCTCCTCGGACAATGAGACGGAGGCTCCCGAATCAGGCGGGCCTGGCAACACGGAGCCCCGCGATGCCTAAAGGGGTGGAACAATCCGGCCCCTGGCTCCGCCAGCGCCTCACCTGCACGGCCCCTGGCTTCTCCTCGCGCTCTTGATCCACTTGCTCAGGAGCGAGTCCTTCCGCCTGTAGCAAAAGTAGATCCCCAAAGCTGTGGCGGGGAGGATGAGCAGGAAGACAAGCAGCAGGGCTATCAGGATGGCTTCATGGTCTGGGGAGGGCGGAGCAGAGAGATCAGGAGGGGGCTTGAAGCCGCATGTGCCCCTTACCCGGGGGCTGGAAACACCCGCTCCCGTCTTACGGACAGACTTCAGCACACAAGACGGATCCACAGCACGGCTGCGTGGGAACGCAGTGATCTGGAGCCACACCCTTCAGCCATGCTGCCTCTGATACAGAGGCGGCAGTGTGGGGCAGCAACTAGCTCTGGGGCCCCCTCCCAGCCCCACTCCCTGGTAGCCAGCTGCCACCCCATGCCGGTTCCTGGTCCCCCTCCCCCCATTACGGTAACTGATCAGCTCATGCTTATCGATTAACCGTTTAAACGGTTCGACCATTCCATCCCTGGGGGGGTGCTGAATGACTCTCCACGCTTGGGACCTGTCCCATCAGCTGGTTCTCCCCCGGATTCCCATTGCCCTGAATCTGGCCTGTCAGCAGAGACAGCAGCTCTGTGCTCCCTTTGCTCCCACCCCATCCTTCA